ACCATAGTGCCTAAATGTTTGCTCTAATAGTTACCTTGAAATCAGTTCCAATTTTCAAGCTGCATTCCTCACAGGTATTAGCGAAAACATCTTCATAACATTTAATACAATATGGGTGATCTTCTCGTAGAATATAGCGTTGACCAGTTAAGGAATTGTCACAGTTAAAACAACAGAAATGACCACTATGGAAATTCTCATTCATGGCTTTAGTGAATTCCCCAGCAAATATTAACTATAAAAAAGCAAAAAATATACAATATATCAATTAGTGTATCGATCCTCCCCAATTTGAGAAAGCACAAATTTTACATTAAAATATTTTTGTGAGTGAGCTTCTGGCCAACCAATTTTTTATTGTGTCTCAAAATAAAGAGATTTGTGAAATTAGATTTGTTTAACAAGGAAGCAAGGAAAGTGATGAGGAGTTTCCACAACTGTACATCAGGAAAATCAAATGAGGTTAGGATAATTAGAAACAATGAAGTCTGTATGTATGTGACTTTAATACCAAAACATACATTTGAGAATATCTAAAATTACCAGTATAGTATAGCAGAAACAATCATCAAATAAGCCACATTTTTGCATCTTTAACTTAACAAATTCATTCAGGATCAGATTATCGATAGCATATTGGATATTCAGGGGGGTGGGATATATCCAATGGAACACATTGAACATGATACAATCGATAAATGTTGAAACATGATAGTCTGATTAGTGAAGGGCACATTCTTGCTGGTCAGTGAAGGGCGCCCTCTAACTGGGCCTCATCTCAGTTTGTAATAGACAATCTTCCGTTCACTGTGAGACCTCACATATTACATGAAAAAGTGTGGACCAAATGTCAGCTGCATAAATCAAACAATTTGTCTCTTAACTTGAATTTTTGTTATTGCTCTTCGTCAAAATGCCAATCTTTGAGAGGGATATTGCATTGACATATCCAAAATTCATCATTAATAAGTGCACTATTAACTCAGCAAATACTTTTGTTTTGTATAATCCCACGCCATGTTTTAACATCACTACAATGCTATCACTTTTGTTTTTCCTGTTCTTGCATTTTATTTCACACATAGCCATGTATAAACTGGTCCTAGTCTGAGGTTGAAAGTACTGTTCTAGTGAGGTCTTGATTACCCTATTTTTAGCAATTTATGTTATGTTTCTGAGACACTTATTCACAGTTACCAACACATGAACACTGTCATGCTAGAATGACAGGAATGCATTCATTGACCCAGAAATATGCAGTATTACCAGAATCTTCCTTCAAATAAAGGGCAGGAAAGTTAATCCTTAAAAAAGAAAGATTTAGTTGAGAACAAATAATAACAGCCAATATAATTGTAAACCAGCACCTAAACTTATAGGTTAAAAACAATAAAAATTGGGAAATTATTTTAAATTAATAGTGAAATATAAAATTTTATCAGCACAAGTAAGTATTTCAAGTCACAAATTACTCATAGAGAGAGCATGGTACAAATGACATCCTGTGAGTGACAAACAACACTGTTATACACTGTCCTAAGCCAAACATTAAATAACAAGTCATTGTCAATGACACGTCCCCGTTCCGTTCATATTTGAGTGACATATACATTCAAAGCAGATCATGACCGAAATGCACCTGCATATGTACAACACATTGTGCTAAATCTGAACAAAATCCATCCATGCATGACTGAGATCCGGTTCTGGAATTGTGAAAATACGTGATTTTGATGCATTTTCGGCCTTAAAATGGCCATCATTCCGCTATTGTTAAGCAGATCATGAAACAAATGCACATATCTATTTGTGACATGATGTACCATGTGTGTGTGAAGTTTGAACTTGATCAATCCAGACATGTCTTGGATACAGATCCAGAACTGAATTCTTTAACAAAATGGCCGCCAGTCGGCCATTTCGAACTTGATCCGAAAAAAAAAAAAAGACGTGCATCAAGGTCCTATTATGTTTAATGTATGTACCAAATTTGAACAAAATCCATCCATGCATAACTGAGATACGGGTCCGGAATGGTGAAAATGTGCGATTTCAATGCATTTTCGGCCTTAAAGCGGCCCCCATTTGGCTATCGTTAATGAGATCATGAAACAAATGCACATACATATTTGTGACATGATGTACCTTGTGTGTGTGTGAAGTTTGAACTTGATCAATCCAGACATGTCTCGGATACGGATCCAGAACTGAATCTTAAAACAATGGCCGCCAGTCGGCTATTTCGAA